CTAGCTTTTATCTTACTGTTAAATATGAATTTAAATAATTAGGCTCTACTTTTTACCCAGATACACTCAAATATTTTTTTAAAATATTAATTTCAATAAACAAATATTGAAATAAGAAAACTTCTAACTTTAAATCTAGATTTAGTAATTTAATCACTTGAAATTCAGTGGTAATTATTGGTCCTGTTCTACCTTATAAAACTGCCAATTAAAATATTTAAAGTATTGCTTGTTACTATTTTTACTTGTGCTTTTTTGGTGAAATGTCCGTTCAACCAAATGTCCGTCGGCCAAATGTCTGTCGGCCAAATGTCCATCCACGAGCTTCAAAACAACTCATGGTGTATAGTAAAAGAAAAAAAAAATGGGCATAAGAAGTTCTGTTTGAAGCACCTTCTCATTCCATGTTTAGGGAAAGAGAAGATAACTCCGCAATAGATATTCCTCCGAGCTTTAAAGCTATTTCTACTCTGTAGCTAAAAAAAAACTTCTAATTAATGTTTATAAAACTGAATTAAACCTTTGTATATATTAAGTGTGATGGCTTCCATTTCAACATTGGCTGTGAAATTGAACCCACGCATGAAAATGTTTACATTTGAGGCTCTTTAGACTTGTTCTGTTTGGTCGTTTATGACGCAAGGTAATTTTTGGTTTGAAAATGGGAATTCTATGTATATGTTATGATATACACCCTTGTGTAAATTAATTGAAACAAAACGAATAATTCCGTTATTATTTACTTTTTTCGTAATTGTCCAATGAAACATGACCAGTGCATTTGTTAATACTTCGTATGTCCATTCCACAGTTCGTGCAGCGTTACAATTTTTGTACGCAACCTTGGAGTAACGCCCATCGCAGACAATGGCCGTAGGACAACTAATCGACAGTCCTGACAATAGTGTCTGGGCGTAATAAAAATCTGAAGCAATCACAGATGACGCAATATTTTTTTAAGGCCAAAGAAGTTTCATCATACAAACCGAACAGAGATTCATATTACTGCACACCACTTTAAATGACTTAATCTGAGGAAAAAATAGAAATTGACCACACCCTGTCATTCCAGTGCGTCTAAAACTGACCGTATGGTGAAAAAGGAAATTAAACAGTTGTTTAAATTAATTTGCACAAGGGTGTATATCCTTATTCCTGTATTTCTTTTTTTCCTCTTCCACTCTTCATAATAATAATAATTATTATTATTATCATTATTATCATTTTTATTTTCTTTGATCTCTGGCGTTTACACATTTCTTTCCGGGTCCTGCCCAGGGACCTAAGGTTAGAAATGGCATCATGACACTTTCCACTGACAAAAAAATAAAAATAAAAAAAATGACATAGATAAAGCCCTTCGTAAAGTGTGGGCTGTACTTGTCAGAACAATTTTTTGTATCTCCTTGAGGCATGGACTTCCAGGAATCCCTTCAGTTAGTCTACTGCAATCTTTTTCAACCAGTCCTAGGGCTCCAACTACAACAGGGATCGTTATTATTATTATTATTATTATTATTATTTATTCTCTTTCACAGTGATTCCTTCACCATTTTCTTTCATCATATTTTTTCCTGTTATATTGTTTTTCCTCTTCCCGCTCTTTTGAAATATTAAATACCAGTTTTCATTGCTTCAAAAAAAAAAAAAAAAAAAAAACGATTTCATAAAAAAATGTTTCGGTGTTTTATTTTCTGCTTGATTTTATGCATTCAATACGAATATCATCCTGGCTATGACGATAAACTACATCCGGCAGCAAGGCCTCTGATCGGGAGGTTTGAGGAAACCACCTATTAATCGTTGTGGTTCCCACGTCCACCCTGACCAAAGGTAGTAGCACTTGTTAGGGTCCCAGCTAATAGTGACCCCGGAAATATATTTTCATAATAAAAAAAATTACCAGAACGGTGCATTTGTATAAAAATATATTCATGTAAAAGAAAAATATTACCAGCAATACATTTATGTAAGAGAAAAATATTACCAGCGATAAATTTATGTAAGACAAAGTATTACCAGCGATACATTTATGTAAGAGAAAAATATTACCAGCGATAAATTTATGTAAGAATAAGTATTACCAGCGATACATTTAAGTAAGAGAAAAATATTAACAGCGGCACATTTATGTAAGAGAAAAATATTAACAGCGATACATTTATGTAAGAGAAAAATATTACCAACGGTAAATTTATGTAAGAGAAAAATATTACCAGCGATACATTTATGCAAGAGAAAAATATTACCAGCGATACATTTAAGTAAGAGAAAAATATTACCAGCGACACATTTATGTAAGAGAAAAATATTACCAACGGTACATTTATGTAAGAGAAAAATATTACCAGTGACACATTTATGTAAGAGAGAAATATTACCAGCGATACATTTATGTAAGAGAGAAATATTACCAGCGACACATTTATGTATGAGAAAAATTTTACCATCGGTACATTTATGTAAGAGAAAAATATTACCAGCGATACATTTATGCAATAGAAAAATATTACCATTGATACATTTTTGTAAGTTAAAAAATATACATTAACAGCAATGCATTTTTGTAAGGAAAAAATTTTAACAGCAATAGATTTATGTAAAAGAAATTATTAATATTTTCAAGAAAATTAAATTTCATATTAAATGACCCATAAATTGCTGATATGCCGTTAAACAAGCGAAGAATATAAATAATTTATACTACAGATTTATTCCTAAATAATCTTGACACTGTTACCTTTTCTAATCTTCCTTGTTTTTCTCCTCCCTTTTTTTCCAATCGTTACCTGCGCTTCTCAAACAAATATTTATACTAAGCATATAAAAGCTGATTTCTGACAATTGACATCTGCTGAGTTTGATCTGTTGCCCTAACACAGTGAGACTGGGGGAAAATGAAATGTCTCCGCGATTGCGTCATCAAATTATAGGCTGATTAGAAAAACGCGTATCACCCAAGCAGAAAAGCCACCCTCAGCGGGATGTGATATCATTCTCATCAGAATTATCAAAAAAGTTATGAGAATTTGTTTGTTATTTGCTGTTTGTGGTGCTAATACCTGTAAATGGTTTAATGGTGTTTTTAATTATTTTTTTTATTATTTTGTAGGTTATTTCAATTTAAACTCCATTCGTTCTTTCACATACAAGTTTCATTGAAAACAACTGACAAGGCACAGCGATTAAACATTTTATTAAATTTTTCTTGCGTTCATACAAGTATTTTCTTTCCTGGATATAGAATGTGAAAAAACTGTTCAAATGATCTATGATTCCAAGCGCTTTTAACGAATTTATTAGTCATTTTCAAGGATGTTTTTTGTTAAACTGAATATGTAGAGTTTATGCTTTTTATATCCATAAAATCTCCATATTCAAACATAACAAAATGATTTTCTTTAGATAATACGCAATGAGATTTGTGTATATGAAACATAATGTATTATATATGGGACACAAAGAATTTTGCGTATATAAGACGCAATGAATTTTATAAATATAAGACGCAGTAAATTATGTGTATATAAAATAAATAATTTTATGTATATAAGACAAAATGATTTTTTATACAAGACACAATAGATTTTGCATCTATAAGGCAAAACGAATTTTATGAATATAAGATGCAGGAATTTTATGTATATAAGACAAAATGATTTTGTTTATATAATATGCAGTGAATATTGTGCATATAAAACTCAATGAAATTTGTGTATCTAAAACACAATGAATTCTATGTATAAAAAATCAATAAATTTTAGTCTATCAAACAAAGGGAATTCTGCATAGATAAGAAAAAGGAATTTGATGCACATCAGATGTAATAATTTTTCCGAATATAAGACGCAGTTTATGTATACAAATGGCAATTAATTTTGCTTATGTAAGATCGATCGTGTCACAGATAACGGTCCAGAAAGGGATCATTTGTTAATCATTTCACCCCAAGTAAGCCAGTAAAGACGCAAGCGGTTACTGTGTGTTGGAGAATATGAGAAAAAAAGTATTAAAAAGAGAGAACAATAAAAGGAGAATAATTAATAATACAAAATATAACAATTGACATTGCATTTAATTTTTTGAAGATCAAGTTGACTGGAAACTGAGAAGCCAGAATAATGTCCCACAAGCGAGAAGTGCGATAGAAGAAACTGTTAGAATAGAACTTACGGTACATCTAGCCATTGCGACTGCAAAATGACAACATATTGCAGCCAATCTCGTAATGCATTTAAATTTCTAAGAACTAACAACTATAGAGGAAAGTTAAAAATAGGTACCATGAAAGTATTTTTTAAGCATTTCTCCCCAAGCAACTAGCACGAAAGATGTTACAGAGAGTGTGAGCAAGAGTAAAGAGAGGTGTTCGAGAAAAGGATATAGAAAAGAACGGGGATCAGGATCAAGGCATCAGAAGATGTCGATTGACATTACATTTGAATATTTGAAGATTATTGCTATCACGGAAGCAAATGAGGAAGCGAGTTGCACTGTCGGAAGTGTGAGAGAAGAAGCTGTTGGAGTAGAAGAAGCGGTTACATTTAACTGTTTCGACAATGAAAGGGTGGGACCGAGATGCCAACGTAGTAGCACGCTTAAATTCACGCAGTAGACGAGATGCCAGATCAGAACCTATCACATTGTATATCCGTCTCTGTATTTTGTCTAGGACCTCGAGATGAATAGCGGGGGGCACCAGACCATATATGGCAACAGTATTCAATGCAAGGATGAATGGTAGATTTGTAGATCTCAAGGATGGACTCAGGCGAGAAAAAAACTTTCTGGTTCGACACAGAGAATTAACTTTCCTTGCGTTAGAAGTGACAGGAGCCGAAATGCTGTTCGGGACCAATAACATTGAAGATTATTCTTTGGATTTTATCAAGAATCTCTAAATATACAGGAGAACCAGACATGACGAGCCGAGTTCAAATTGGCGCATAAGTACCATTGAAAAAGGCATGAATCCATCTGTTCTCCACATCTTCTAGCAGTTAAATTGAAAGGTGGAGACACGATGGAGGCACGGTGGATAGCAGCTCGGACTGAGGAATCAGAGAGCCGAGTTCGAATTCCAGTCGAATCCATTACTTTCACTTACATGCTAATACCCTTGTGAAATGTATGAATCCTCCCCCCCCCCATTTACCCATATCGGGAAGGACAAACCGGGTTCTATAGCTTTGGATATCAACTGTTCTACCGCAGACAGAAATGACAACCTACTGCGGGGAAAAATCTGCCTCGTCAGTCGTATATCGATACATGATCGTCTAAGCGTGTATCAAGCATGACACATAACTGACTGAGACTGGGGTCCATTAGGCAGGAAGCAGTCGAAGAGATGGAAAACTCAGAATTCAGAACCGCGAAGAAGTTAACAAGAAAAACACTTCTGTCTTCTTTCCCAAGAAAGCGTGACATTTAAAAGATCGTAAAGAAAAATCTGTGGAAAGTTTTGATCGCCTGTGCTGAATGTAAATGTCTTCAAAAAAAGATGATACAATGATTTTTGCGTATTTAATTTCAGCTTTGTCGGATTTGGAATATTTTATTCTTTGGGAACTGAATTCAATAAATGCTGTGTGGTACCAGGCTGCAAATAAGTGTCCTGCAACAGGTGCTTTGTTACCTGCTAAAAAGAAATATAAATTGTGGAAATAAGCCTCACAGTTTGCCACGAGCAGCAACATTATGACAGCAATAATCGCTAAAAACGTTACCTTAACATTGATTAAAAACAGCATCTGCTCTCAACTTGATATCTACGCAGATGACACAACCATTTACACCTGTCTCGATCATAAGACAGGTCAGTTCTATAAGGTCAAATTGGCAGCCGATGTCCAAAACCACCTTCAGTCTGTTGTTAACTGGGGCAAAGGATGGCTTGTTAATTTTAACACCACTAAAAAGTAAACTTCTCTCCATTAATCATCTGAGGGAGACATTTGTGCTTTCCATCAGTATATGGCTGATGCTAACTTCTAGGAAAATGATTCGGGCTAACGTAGTGAAAAAGACCATATTGAATCTATTGCTGGGTCAGCTGCTAAAAAGTCTGTTCACTGTGCGAAATCATTTTTCTCTCCAGTATCTATCTTACATATCTTTATTATGCTTAGAATATTGCTACAAAACAAGAATCAGTAATATTATTATTTTTGATCTGTCGTCATAGATTCAGTCACTTTCCCACCGCCGTAAGGTGGCCTCACTGTGCCTTTTCTATAAATACGTTCATGGTAATTGTTCGGATGAGCTCTTCGCCATGGTACCTTGACTTTTTAATTTAAACGCAGTACGAGACTGGAGTCGAAATCTCAATTTACAGTTGAGTCGGCTTCATGTAGCCTTAAGTTTTATACCAACGGTTTCTTTTCTCGCACTTGTCGCTTGTGGAACTCATGCTTTCCGGCCTACCTTAATCTTCAAAAAGGAGATGCAATATCAATCGCTAGTTTCCGATTTCCTGATTTCTCTTCTTTTGTTCTCACACCTTAGTAATTTTTCTGTTTCTAATTCTTACACTTGCTTGGAGCGAATTAGGTTAATTAATATATATATATATATATATATGTCTAAGGCTTTGGTTAAATCCAGTGACAAGACCCAAATAGTGTGAGTTCAATACCCGGTTAAGGCAGTGGAGAACGTGGAGAGGGGAATTAACAAGAGATGACTTATAACTGACATCCATTAAACATGGCACGTGGAACTAGAACAGTCTAACCCAGTGAGCGAAATAAACGGTTCAGTTCGACATCCCAACCACCTGAAGAAGGCCGGAGCGTATAAAGACCAAATCGTTGTAAAAAAATGTCGGCAAAGATGAGGAAATAGTCCGAATAATGTAAATATATATATATATATATATATATATATATATATATATATATTAGAGTCGTAGTGGGTACGTTGATTTTTAAATAGTCCCACTGAATATGTCTATACAGGGGGTAAAAAGTAGGTGTACAGTAAGTATTATACCAGTATTGTAACAGTAGTTTTAAAATTCATTTAATTCATTAAAATCTTTTTAAATATTTTTATTTTCTTAAGTTTTATTATAATACATTTATTATAATTTTTATTTTTTTTAATAAATAATAATAATAAATATTTTGTAGGTAAAGAGGAGTGTGTAAATGACGAGGGCAAACAGTTTGAACATTTGAGGGACTGATATGTTTATTATTGATATATTTTTTTTATTGATGCATTATTAGGTTTTGTTTGGTTTGTTTTACGGCATATCAACCACAATAGGTTATTTAATGCCGACAAAATTTCCTTTTTTTCCAAAATGTATAGCTGGTAATTTTTTTCAGAAATGTATAGCTGGTAATATTTCTTTAAAAAAAATGGATAGTTTGGTTTGTTTTGTTTTCTGGCATATTAACCTCAATGGGTTATTTAATGCAGACAAGACTTTTATTTCTGGTAATATTTTCTTTAAAATATTTATTGCTGATACTAATTTTTTTAAAAGTATTTCTGGTATTAAAATCTAATCACTCATAGCGTTTTGAGTCAATTTGTGGGTCAACTATTTGCCCATAGCAGGGACCCCCCAACAGGTGCTTCCACCCCGGGTCAGGTGGACATGGGAACACTAGCAATTAAGAGGTGGTTCCACGCACTTCAAAACCTGATCAGAGGCCTTGCTCTTGGACATAGTCTTTCGTTTTACCCAGGACGCGGATGCAGTTTATCGTCTTACCCAGGACGCGGATGCAGTTTATCGTCTTACCCAGGACGCGAATGCAGTCTATCGCCTTACCCAGGACGCGGATGCAGTCTATCGTCTTACCCAGGACGCGAATGCAGTCTATCGTCTTACCCAGGACGCGGATGCAGTCTATCGTCTTACCCAGGACGCGGATGTAGTTTATCGTCTTACCCAGGACGCGGATGCAGTTTATCGTCTTACCCAGGACGCGAATGCAGTCTATCGTCTTACCCAGGACGCGGATGCAGTCTATCGTCTTACCCAGGACGCGAATGCAGTCTATCGTCTTACCCAGGACGCGGATGCAGTCTATCGTCTTACCCAGGACGCGGATGTAGTTTATCGTCTTACCCAAGACGCGGATGCAGTCCATCGTCTTAACCAGGACGCGGATGCTGTTTATCATCATATCCAGGACGGTGATGTATTATTATTGATATGTTTACTATAATCAATATCATACGCTTCGTGGATAATTTTTGTTTTTCTTTATTGCATATTTATCGTTTCTTTTTATTTGTCGTTTGTTTTTCATATATAAAAAAAGCCAATCCATCATTCTTATCGTGACTTGCTTCAGATCTTTCTGAGTAAGCAACTTTTAGTCGCATTGATCGTGCCCGGGCAAAACCATCCTTGCTGACAAGCATTCAGGCTAACGTTGGAGCGCTGAGAATCAGATATCTTCCGGTAAATCGTACGAGAAAACTTAAAGAGATTCATTGTTCTGACCACTTGCTTTGATCAGTTATTGCTTATCTCATCTGTTAATCTTCAGGGGAAGTTTTAATTCACTAACGGATTGTGCAGCCTTCATCACGATTGTCTCAACTGATGGTTGCATTACAAATCTGTCCGCTTAAAATACAGGTTGCAAAATAAGGAAGGCAATAGTCTCCATAATATAATTATTAGATAACAATAAGAAAAAAACAAAAAAAGCAGATTTCGCAAATACAAAGCTTAATATCAAATTATTAGTATTTACGAATTATTAGTATATTCGCAGAAATTTTTCGGTCTATCTCAATATGTTCATATCTATCTATCTATCTATCTATCTATCTATCTATCTATCTATCTATTTATCTATCTATCTATCAGGTCATATCGATCTATCTCAATCAGGTCATATCTATCTATCTATCTATCTATCTATCTATCTATCTATCTATGTATCAGGTCATATCTATCTATCTCAATCAGGTCATATCTATCTATCTATCTATCTATCTATCTCAATCAGGTCATCTATCTATCTATCTATCTATCTATCTATCTATCTATCTATCTATCTATCTATCTAAATCATTCATATTTATCTATCTATCTCAATCAGGTCATTATCTATCATCTATCTATCTATCTATCTATCTATCTATCTATATATATATATATATATATATATATATATATATCCCTGTCTATTCGCATCCATCTATCAGTCCCAGCCTATTCGCATCTATCTATCTATCTATCTATCTATCTATCTATCTATCTATCTATCTATCTATCTAAATCAGTCTGTTCATATTTATCTATCTATCTCAATCAGGTCATTATCTATCTATCTATCTATCTATCTGTATATATATATATATATATATATATATATATATATATATATATATATATCCCAGTCTATTCGCGTCCATCTATCAGTCCCAGCCTATTCGCATCTATCTATCTATCTATCTATCTATCTATCTATCTATCTATCTATCTATCTATCTATCAGGTCATATCGATCTATCTCAATCAGGTCATATCTATCTATCTATCTATCAGGTCATATCGATCTATCTCAATCAGGTCATATCTATCTATCTATCTATATATCTATCTATCTATCTATCTATCTAAATCAGTCTGTTCATATTTATCTATCTATCTCAATCAGGTCATCTATCTATCTATCTATCTATCTATCTATCTATCTATCTATCTATATATATATATATATATATATATATCCCTGTTTATTCGCATCCATCTATCAGTCCCAGCCTCGCATCTATCTATCTATTCGCTATCTATCTATCTATCTATCTATCTATCTATCTAAATCAGTCTGTTGATATTTATCTATCTATCTCAATCAGGTCATTATCTATCTATCTATCTATCTATATATATATATATATATATATATATATATATATATATCCCTGTTTATTCGCATCCATCTATCAGTCCCAGCCTATTCGCATCTATCTATCTATCTATCTATCTATCTATCTATCTATCTATCTATCTATCTAAACCAGTCTGTTCGCATCTATCTATTACTATCTGTGTCTATATCTACGTTTCGAACAATTTCAACATTCTGACATTCGTTTAATAACGACAAAAAGGTTCTTTCAAAAACATTCAATCAGAAGACGAAGCGTTTTCTCTTTCACTGGTCGTATTTCTCACCAATGAAAACAACTGTCATGGCCATTTTTTTAAATATAAACGAAACTTTGTTAAGAAGAACCAGTTAAAACGTACAAAGCCTAACGATAAAAAGATAATAAAAAAAGTATGTTTTTGTTCAGTAAAAGAAACAGGATTTGAAATTAGGGCTAAGCAAACACAACGTTGTATAATGGTGACCCAAGTGGTTTTTCGTTGAACTTGACTGACAGGTACCCTTGGGTGTTGGATTACAAGTGACAAGCGATTGGAACGGGCGTATTTCAAACTACTGTTGTACATCGAATCCTTACAAAGACAAACTTCCTGGTTCCCACTTCGTGTCGTTGATCTCCCTTGCTCACAGAATAACTCGAATGCACACAGACATGTATACAGACCTGTTATCGGCAAGACATGTTTAATCGAAATATAGGTACCATACAACCTATGACTTGTCCGTGATCAAGCCGAGGGTCAGGTTTATTTGTCAAAGACATTCTATGTAGGAATGAATGCTTTTTGGCATTCTACCCAGATACGTTGCGGAAACTGATCAAATGTTCAGCTGCTTAATGACCCTACGACTAAATAGTCGATCATGGCTCTCCACTTCTTCCTATCCCTTGTAACTCTCAATAAGTTCTGTCCCTTTGCTACTTCCCCCTGGCCCTGTTCTGTCATCCATTTGCTTTAGCCCGCTAGATATGTCATGCATTGCTTTCCTTTGTTTCTCTTTCCCTTCTTTCCTTTTATGTACCGTGTCCCTTCAGGACGTAGGCGATCATGGCTCTCCACTTCCTCCTATTCCTTGTAGCTCTCAATAAGTTCTGTCCCTTTGCTATTTTCCCCAGGCCCTGTTCTGTAATGCATTTGCTTAAGCCCGCTAGATATGTAATGCATTGCTTTCCTTTGTTTCTCTTTCCCTGCTTTCCTTTTATATACCGTGTCCCTTCAGGACGTGGGTGATCATGGCTCTCCACTTCTTCCTATCCCTTGTAGCTCTCAATAAGTTTTGTCCCTTTGCTACTTTCCCCAGACCCTGTTCAGTCATTCATTTGCTTAAGCCCGCTAGATATGTCATGCGTTGTTTCCCTTGTCTCTCTTCCCCGATATTCGACCTGTGAGTATCAGATTCTCCAGGCCCTCCTTTCTCATTATGTGTCCCAGAAATTTCAGCTCCTCTTCCTGATGATAAGTATAAGCCTCCTCCTTGTTTGCATCCTCTCAAAGACCCCATCGCTGCTCACACGCTCGGTACATGTTATCCTCAGCATCCTCCTGCAGGGCCACATCTACATCACCCTGAGTCTCTTCTTCACCTTTGAGGATGCCGTCCAACCATTGCTGCCATAAAGGGGGATAGATGTCACGTAGTAACTCAGTACACTTTTTAAATCGTTTCTTTCTTTCTTTTTTCTTGTCTTCTTTAATTGAATTTCTTCTTCTTTCTTTGCTTGCTTCTTGCTTTTCTTTCTTTTCTTTCTTTTTAGTTTTTCTTTCTTTTTTTCTTTCTTTTTAGTTTTTTTTTCTTTCTTTCTTTGCTTGCTAGTTTTCATTTTCTTTCCTTTCATATATTCAAGATCTCCTAATTTTCTATCTAACTTTTTAACCAATTCACCCCAAGCAAGGTGATAACGCCACTAAGAAGCAACGGGCCTACTTGAAGTGAAAGAGAATGAAAAGACTTTAGAAGGAATCAGAAACACAATAATAATATAAATTTTAGAATTTAGGCGGGGGCGTTAAAAGTCTAGAGTTGAAGCAGAATTTAGAAAGAACTGGAAACCCGTTCTTAAGCAGTAAGTAAGCGGTAAACCGTTAAGCAAGGCAGTTCTGTAGAATTTGAAATCCTACAGGGATTTGGCATTGGTGGCCACAATCTTAACAACATAAGATACGTAAATGACACGGTACTGATAGCAGACACAGAAAAAAAATTATAAAACCTTCTACAGAAGGTAGAGAAGGAGAACAAGAAGGGACTAAGCATAAACTACACGAAGACAGAATGCATGGTCATCAATAAAGAATGAGCCCGAAATGTGATTTGCAGGTCGGGGGCACTAAAATCTAGCAGATGCAGAAGTTTAAATACCTGGAAGCGTTTTGACAGAGGACGGCAACACTGAGATGGCTAAGGACGCATTCCAAAAGATGGCCAGGAGAATTTCTTTGCTAACAAAGAAAACAGTACTGAGCTGTTACGTGACATCTGTTCTTCTTTAAGGCAGCAAATGTTGGACAGTCTCCTCAAAGATGATGAAAAGACTGGTCTGGGTGCGGTGGCAGAAGGATGAAACCTATTGAATGCTACATGGAATAGGGAGAAGTGGAGAGCCATGATCGCCTACTTGGTGAAATGACGTAGCACATAAAAAGAAAGAAACCTGTATCCCTGTTCAAATCTATCTATCTACTGCTTCACTCATTAAGCATAGAGAGAATCATTTGGCAAATAATTTTTTAACATTAGCATGCATTTGGCCTTCATTAGGCCACAAAACTTGTCAGAAATGAAGAATATGTCTGTATCTACAGCAGCGTCCAAAACTAAGGGTCAAAATTTTAAAACCTAATATTTATTAGAAATAACAACTGTGAAAAGCTGAAATTTTGACAACTGGTAGTCGTTATCATCCATAATAACATACTAATATTTGAATCATTTGCAAAGGATAGAAAAAGAATTATAACAATTATTTATTTATTTTCAAATTTGTAACGTCCAAAAGTAAGGGACAAAATTGAGAAAAACAATGCAAACGGCAAAAAAAAAAAAACAATAAAAATACATGTCCAATCAATATTTAGTAAATGAGCCCTTGCTCTCAATGACAGCTGCACATCTTCGACTACAAGAACAAATCAGTTCTTGAGAATCCTTGATACTAATTTTAGACCATTCTTCTTGAAGCTTCACCCACAAATCCTCTGTGTTAGTGGGATTTCTTTCCATAACTTTCCCTCCTAAGGTCTTCCAAAGATTTTCTATTGGATTTAAGTCAGGACTTTGCGGTGGCCAATCCATAATTTGCAAATCTTGCTCGCTAAGGTAACTCATTACCACCTTTGCCTTGTGACATAGGGCATTATCTTGCATAAAGGTAGCCCTATCGAAACCTGAATTCTGTATGATTGGCACAACATGATCTTGAACAATGTTTTTATAGATCTGTGCGTTTACACGAGTTTGTAACCGGACAAAAGGCGTTATACCTTGGCTAGAAAACATTCCAAATACCATGACGCTTCCGCCCCCAAACTTGACAGTTTTCTTAGTACACTTTGCACTTAATCTTTCACCAATACTTCTCTTTACATTGTTTTTTTCCATCATTTCCAAATAAATTAAACTTGCTTTCATCACTGAAAAATACTTTTGCCCAATTTTCATATGTCCAAATTACATACCTGTTTGCAAACTCTAATCTCTTCTTATTATTCTTCGAACTAACAAGTGGTTTCTTCTTTGGGGTTCGATTAAACAGCCCTATTTCTTGCAGTCGTCTACAAACAGTCTGTCTTGACACATTAACACATGAGGTACTATTCATAACTCTTTTAATTTCTGTGCAAGACTTAAAACGGTCCTGTAATGACATACGCTGCATTATTCGATCTTCTCTTGCCGAAGTTTTGCGGGGTCTGTCGGTTTTAAAAGCACTAACTATTTTGCCAGTATCATCGTGCGTGTTTAGTAGGCATTTTAACAATGTTTGGATATATCTTCGACTACCATAACCGGTGTAAAATAACTACAATCTCACACAAAACGTCCGCAAATCAACACGTGGACAAAGGGGAAACATGCAAAAAAAATACCTACTAGACTCACACACACACGCGCGCACACACAGAGAAAATAATACACATACATACACAAACGAATGCCCATTAACATCCGAATTCCACATAGACAAACTAAAATTATGATACATATGCACACATGAATTATACGCACGAACGCTGCTTGACAAGACTGTTGCCCGTGAAGTCTGTTTAACCAATGAAAATCAAGCAACACAAATTTTTTTTAAAATACCCGGATTTTCTTTTCCGCTTCCATAATTCACTTTCTGATGACGCTTTAATAAAAACAAATGAATTTATAATATTCTCCTATTTATTTCTTATCATTTTATCGGGTTCCAATCCATATGTGATTTGATCCTATTTCGTACACACACACATGCACGCACACACACGCACACACACACACACACACACACACACATATATATATATATATATATATATATATATATATAGTAAGGTAAAAGTCCGTTGGTATATAATCCAAGTGGATTCTAATAATATGATAATATGAGAACTCGATGCATTTTATTTAATTTATGCAGAGCAATATAATTCATTTGTTTGATTATTAATTTCGCGCACACACACATACTCTCTCTCTCTCACACACACACACACACACACACACATATATATATCGTTTTCCATTTTCCTCTCTCTTATCTATCTATGTTCGTATCTCACTTCATCTATATTCTTATCTATCAATTTGTGTTCTTCTCCTTATCTCTGTCTCTCTATCTCACTATCCCTCTCTCTCTCTCTCTCTCTCTATATATATATATATATATATATATATATATATATATATATATATATATATATATATCCTGGCTGTTCACTCCTGTCTGCAATTAGTTTTTTTCATATCAACCATAAATTACATCTAATTTTTTAGATCAAATTTAAAATCTTTGGGAAAGTTGTTAAAATGCACTGGTTGATGAACATATATATGTATATTGACCACAGTATGATGCTAAAAACATCTGAATATTAAAATCGTTCCCTGATACCCATGTGGATTCGGGAGCAGCAAATAA